GACAAACAGCCCCTCGCTGGGGCTGCTTGGGGCTAGCTCACAATCTCTTTTTCTTGCAAATTCTGGTTTCATCGGTTGGGGAGATTCTGGGCTTTGTGGTGGTTTATGGTGGTTTGCAGTGCTTGAGGAAAATGGAAAGAGGGTTTGGTGTTGCAGAGCTGTATCCAGGGGCAGGGTCTGCTCCTGACTGTGCAGGGGATGCCCTGCCCTAACTGTGGCAGTAGCAGATGCAGCCGTAGAAAGTGAGGGCGGCACTGTTCATGACCAGTCAGTGGGCTCATAATGGGTTTGCTTCTGAGGAGTCCTAGAAGAAAATGAGAGGGGAAACCTGGGGGGGAAAGAGCAGAAAATTATTTGGGGGTAGAGGAGAGAGGGTTGCAGGTGAGGTGAGAGAGAAAGGGAAGAGTGGGTCCACAGAAAGAAAGTGCCCCACTGAGAGAGAGGAGATAGGGTTGAGAGGGGAAGGGAGAAGGGTTAGCCTTAGGCAGGAAAGCAAAGCTTCAGGGCTGAAGGGGAGACCATGAGGAAAGAAGAGGAAGACAAGGGGGCTGTGTTTAGACAGGGGAAATCCAAGGGCCCGGTTCTGCCAGGTCTCTCCAGAGGCCTTGTTGAGGGGGAAGATGAAATGGAATAGGATAGGTGGCAGAGGAGGCTGGACAGCTGGACGGAGGTGTCCTGGCATCTCTGAGCCTGCAGCAGAGATTCCTTCTGAGGGCTGCTCCCCAGGCAGAAGCCAGGGCTGGGAGTGGGAGGAAGAGGCAGTCAGAGGAGAGCCTGCCCAGCCAGATGCAAGCCAGAGTGTTAACCCCCCACTGTCTGTCCAGATCCTCCTGAGGCAGAATGGAGGCCCCAGGTCCAGGGGTATCCCCTTTGGGCACCTTCGAAGTCAGCCTCTCATGTGGTGGCTGCACTCTCCCCACACTGATGCCTGAAATATCACCAAAGCCAGACAGCCCTTGGGGTTAAGCATTGCTCCCACCTTGCTCTCCTCCAGGGAGGTTGTCGTCCTGAGCGGTCCCTTTCATATGCACCATTCACTCCAGACCTTGAGTGGCAGCCAGCCTGGGGTAGATACACCGTCTAGTGGCCCAGTTTCCTCCAATCATTCTTGAACCTAAGGTTCCTGAGAACCTGGGCCATTGTTCCCACCCAGGGCAACCTCCCCAACAGAGCTTGAAGTCCCCCCAGCCCCCATGACTGTCGTCACGTGCGCTGAGTGTGTGCCCTCCCTCGTGGGCACCTTCCTCATCGGCCACACATGTGCTTCCAAGGCCCCCTCTTCCACACTTTCCCTCCCTCAGATCGGCCAGGACCCTCACCGTCCCTGTGCTGAGTGGTATTAAACTGTCCTCTGCCTCTTCCTTCCATGCCTCCCACCCCTCTCCTGCCATCAGCTTCTCCCCATCTTTCAAGGGCTCACTGAGGTCCCTCCTCTCTGCAGTCTCCCTGGTCACCCAGCCAGAGCTGCCTTCTCCTCCCCATAAGAGCTGGCAAGCATCTGGGCTTTTGGTGATATGTAGATTAGCACATTGTTGTGGGCTGTTTCATAGCCTCCTTGTGTTTTCCCAGTGAGCAACTTATTTGCAGTATTTGTCTCAACATCTGGATTACTGAGGCAAAACCCAGAGTCCAGGATAGTGTCAACCCTCACCCTACCCTGCCAGCATTTCCCTGAATCTGGGGGCATCAGCTGCCAGGAGGCTTAGGAGCTCTCAGGAGGTGACCTCAAGCTGGAGAAAGAAAGCCCAAGAGTCCCTTTGCTTTTGGCTGAAGAAGGAGAGACCTAGGGCCAAGGGTAGGGATGAGGAGACCTCAGTGAAGAGAAGGAAGAGAGGAAGGAAGAGGAAAGACAGGGCATCAGGAGCCAGTCCCATCACTCTGGTGCTGAGCAGCTACTGGGCCAGGTGGGTGCTGGGAGAGAAGAGGGATCTCAGAAAAAACTTCTCTGCCATGATAAGAGGTGGCTGGCTGGAGGCAAAGCCTGATGGTGCTCAAATAGGCAGGTGGCAGGCAAGAGATGGCCCATTACTGGCACTGGTACCTCTGATTAATCAGTTGGGCTCCTTTTGAAACACATACCCAGGGCTCCAAGAGGTCTCTGGCAAGGGATGAGTTCCAGTGAAACTGAGTTTGATCCCACAGTCTTTCCAGTGGCAGAGCCAGATCTGCATTGAACCAGGTGGGAGGAAGTGCTGGGCCCAGGGGAGCTGTCTGTGGCTTGCCATCTGAAAGCCGGTGCATGAACGTGAACTTGAGGGCAGTTCAAAAAGTGCTTGGCTCAGTGTTGATGTTGCAGAGACAGAAAAAATGGGTAGATGCAAGTCCTGCCCTCGAGTTTCCTGTGTCATTAAAATTTAGACTGGTAGGCACACCATCTGTGTCACTATTAGTTCGATGTGTAGTTAGGTTTGGCTTAATCTGGGAAGGCTTCTTGTAGGTGACATTTGGGTTGTTTTCATGGTAGAACAAGGTTGTGCTGTGGCTGCTAGAAATCCTGGGAAAGCTGGATTTGAGGGATGCTGTATCCTGAGGTAAGGGGCAGAGCCTGTAGCATTGTAGGTTTGAGGCCTTTGTTTTTCTGCTGTGAGCAGGGCATGGGGATAACTGGGGAGAGTGAGGGCTGGGGAGAAATGACACCCTCTCTGTCACAGACATGGCTGGGCTCCCTGCTGTTGTTGGTCTGTCTCCTGGCGAGCAGGAGTATCACCGAGGAGGTGTCGGAGTACTGTAGCCACATGATTGGGAGTGGACACCTGCAGTCTCTGCAGCGGCTGGTGAGTGTGTGGCCGTGCTGTATTCTACCTTCTCCCCACTGGGGAAGTGGAGGCAGGAGCCAGGGAGCAGGTCAAAGAGAGCAGTTGCAGGCAGGAAAATAGGGCAGTGCAGGACATTGCTTGTGGTTCCCACTAGCTCCACCAGTGATATCCTTCACTAGCCTTCCCAAAGTTAGGACCTCTGGTCTCCCCAGCTCTGAAGCCCTCTCTGACTCCCCTGCAGGCAGTGGATGGGGTGGGCTTCCAGCTGCTTGCCTGGGTTAGTGATTGCCCAGGAATATCAACCACTGATTCTGAAAAGGCTTCTGAGGTCTGCTGTCCCTCAGTGGGATGCCTCCTCTGGGAAGCTAGCCCAGGCAGCCTGCTGTGTCCAGATGTTGCGTCTAGCTCCTGGACTCTCATGTGTGGCGCCAGTCTGGCATCAGAGCCCCACCCAGATTTGGAGGGGAAGTGCTCACTTAACTCCCAGCCTTCCACCCTCACTTCCCTGGCTCTTGCCCATACCCTGAGGCTGGGATGGCCTGCTCGTCTAGGCCGTGAAGGAGCCTGTATCTCATTCTAATCAGGCCCATACGTGGTCCAGCCAGGCAGAATCAGGTTGCTGTCATGGCTGCCATCCTGCTCAGTGGGAATTTACCATCCCTCTGGCCAGCTAGGCAGGGTGGGGCATCACTGGCTAAGGCCAGCTCCAGGGCCCTGAGCTTGGGGCCTGTGGGCTGTGCCTTCCGCCTCTCTTGCCCTAGCACTACTTCTCCTGCATGTAGTTGCTGTAGCAATCCAAGGTAGACCAAGAGCCCCAGCATTCTCTGAGGCTTAAAACCCAGAACTGCTGCTCTGGGGCTAAAGAGGGCTTTAAGGTCATCCATCTCCAACGCCTACAGATGTTCAGTCCCCAGAGCTTGTCCAGCCTCTGCTTGAATTCCTGCCATGACAGGGTGCTCACTACCTCCCAGGGAAGATTATATCCTATATTCTCCTATAGACATTTCTTTCTTAAAACAAATGGGCATTTGTCAGATTTCCTGGGGTGGCAGATGGAAGGAAAAGACTTGTTCTTCTACAGCCTTCCCCTGGGCATATGGAAGGCACTGATCTTCTCCTAGACTTGACTCTGTCTTTCCACATGTGGTTGGCAGGGATGAAGTTCAAACCCCAATGCATTCAGAAGCTAAGGTCCCCGTTCTGAAGAAGGCTGAGTTGAGCTGTAGGTTGCCCTGCAATCATTGGCCTGCTCTCTCTTACAGATTGACAGTCAGATGGAGACCTCGTGCCAAATTACCTTTGAGTTTGTAGACCAGGAACAGTTGGTGAGTGATGGCTGTTTACAAAATCCATGCACCAGTCTGCATGCAACTCCCAGGGTGGGGTGTGTGTGGGAGCATGAAGGCAGCAGAATGCCTAGAGCTGGAAAGGTTGAGAGTGTGAGGATCCATGGGTGCTCAACTCTGGGGTGCCAGTATCCAGGGCTCAAGTCCCCTGCCATTCCCTTCTCCTGGCTTGATACATAACAAACGCTCACTAGGTGCCAAGCACTTTGCTAATTTAGTTCTGACAGTACCACTATGTGGTACACAAATACTGTTTATTATCCACAGAGAGGTGAAAGGAGCATAGCTACTAGGTGGTAGAGGCCTGATTTGAATCCAGGAAGGTTGGCTGTAGGACTTGAGGCAAATCAATACTTCCAGGTCACATGCTTCGCTTAAGGATGTCACTTCTCTTCACTAGGCCAACCAGCAGGCAGGGAGGCAGTCCAGCCCTTCCTAGACTTGCCCCACACCCAGCAAGCCACCAAGTGCTGCTGGTTCTGCCTCTCAGCATCTCTGCTCCTCCATCCCTACCTTCACCCCTCAATCAGTTGCTTGGACAATTTCAGGAGCCTCCTAACTGGTCTCCCTGCTTCTAGTTCACTCTTCGTCTTACCACTAGGGGGAATTTTCTGAAACGCCAACCTGCTGCCTTTACCTCACTCTCCCAAAACCATCAGGGGCCCCATCACTTCAGAAGAAAGCCAAGGTTGTCTAGCCTGGCTTACACCAGGTCTAGCCATTCTCCACCACATAAACCTGTACACCGCCTCCCCATTCCCTGCTCCTTCCTGCCTCCCATCTTTGCACAAGCTCTTCTCAATGACTGTCATGCCTTTCCACCTGCTCCCCCAGTCACTATTCCACATCTGTTCATCTTTATGCCTCGTGCAAAACTGCCATGATATCCAGAAGTTGCCCCTGTCTCTGAGCTTCCACACACCAGACCTATATGCACCTCTGTTAGTACTGGAGACCACCTCATGGTCCAAAGAATAGCCTCAGTATTTTATAGCCTCACTCACTCGCTTGCTCTAGCATTCATGCCTGAACTAGCATTTGCTAGGAACCTACTGGACTAGATGCTGGGGGTAGGGAGCTAAAGCAGAGTGGGTCTTCAAGGCAACTACCATCTCTTTAGGGAGACAAAACACAGAGGTTATCCTTTGTACCATGAGATAGTCTTCACCCCCCCCCTATATCCTGGAGGATTTGAAGGGGCCATATGGTAAAAGATTTTTGTGAAAGCAAGCCAAGAGGAAGACAGAAAGAAAGGCAGGGGGAGGTTCCCTGGAGCCCACCTTCCCTATGTACATCCATCCTGATTAAAACCTCATATTCCAGAAACCCAGAGAACTCTCTAATCAGAATCCACATTTCCTTCACTCTAACCCAGTCTCCAATAGTGCTAGATCCCAAAGAGAGAGAAAGACAGGCAAGCTGAGGGCAGCTTTCTCCTCGTTGCTGGCATGGTGTGGTCCCTCCCCTGGGGGAAGGGGGAGAGCAAGCTGCAACCCTCCATCTGCCTGGGGTTGGGGGTTCCCAGGCCACAATGGCCAGGCTATAAGCCCCAGGTTCCTGTTTTCTCAGAAAGATCCGGTGTGCTACCTTAAGAAGGCATTTCTCCTGGTACAAGACATAATGGAGGACACCATGCGCTTCAGAGACAACACCCCCAATGCCATCGCCATTGTGCAGCTGCAGGAACTCTCTTTGAGGCTGAAGAGCTGCTTCACCAAGGATTATGAAGAGCATGACAAGGTAGGAAGCCCTGAGGCCGGGAGCACTGAGTGAGGGCAGAGGGCGGCTACAGAGGCGCCGCTTGGTCCACAGGCACAGAGGATGTTCGCTCACCTCGCCTCACGCCGTTGCTTACTCACTCTCATTCATTTGTCATCCCACCAACCTTTACCAGGCAGGAGGCACGAGGGATCATGCTGGGCCCTGACGATGTCATCATGAGCAACAAATACATGGTCCCACCCCATGCAGCTTATAGTCAAGTGAGCTTGGCAGCTGTTAAACAAACCATGACACCAGTCAATAGAATTACAAACTATAAGGACTGTTCATTCCAACAGCAAGCAGTTTTTGTGTGTCTCTTGTGTACCAGATACTGTTCTAGACACCAGGAAACAGCTGTGATCAAAACAGACAAAAATCCCCACATTCCTGGAACTTACATTTGGGGGTGGTGGTAGTGGTGGTGAGACAGTTAACAAAATATGTATGTAAAATATACAATATGTAGCATGGCAATAACAGCATTGGAAAAGAGTAAACCAGGGATGAGACGACCCGAAGGAGGTGGAGGAGTGAGCTGGGAACAAGAACCGTGAAGGGCTCAGGGAGAGCAACAGGGAACTCAGACTTCCATGGAGTTGGGGAGGCAGAGACAAGGAAGGCTTCTGAGTAAGCAAATATTGATTTGAGCTCCAAAGATGAGTAAGAGTTGAAAGTGGTAAGGCTAGAAGAACATTCTGGAACAGGAAAAGCTATGCACAAAGCCCTAAGGTAAACAAACAGGAAAGTGCACATTCAGGGACCCAAAGGGTTATAAGCATGGCCAGAGCATGGGAAGTGCAGGAGGGAGAGGAGAGAAGGCAGAAGCCAGATCATGTGTGATTTTAGAGATGTGGGATTTTGTCTTAAGGGTGAGGGAAGCTGTCATGAACAGGATGTGGCTTACTCTCAGGTTATAAGACTGACCTGGTTGCTGTGTGGAGGATAAACCACGGGGCAGGAATGGAGGCTGGGAGACCAGCAGAAGGTGCGAGTCCAGGCTAGACGCTTGGACCAGGTGGTACAGTGAAGGTGGAGGCAAGTGGACTGGACATTTTCCCATGGGCTTGGGGGCCAGAATCAACAAGACTTGGTATGTGCAGTGGATGTGAGAAGCTGAGGGAAAGGAAAAGCCAAGGATGGTTTTTGTCTTGAGCACCTGGATATTCCAATGATGCTGAAATGGGGATGATCCATGGGCAGAGCAGGTTTGAGGGAAGACAGTTCAGTCTGGGGCACAGCAGACGTGAGGTGCTCATGAAATGGTGAGTGGAGACATTGAGCAGGCAGCTGGGTGTGCGGGTCTTCAGTGTGACCGGCAATGCACAGATCTATGAGGCATGGGGGTTCGGCTTATCTGTGAAGCCATGGGACTGGACAGCACAGACACTGTGAGAAGAGAAGCAGGCCCAGGAACCCAGCATTTGGAGGGCAAGCAGAGGACAGCGGACCTGGCAAGGGGCAGCCTGAAGGTGGGAGGAAAAGAGAGAGAGTGCAGAGTCAAGGCACTAGGTTCCAAGATGGAAAAAGGGATGGAATTTCATAAAAGAGGGTTGAGAAATCAAGCAAGGGGGGGGCTAAAATTATCCATTGGATTTGGCAACGTGTCACAGGTGCCGGATCAGGGTGAATAGAAAGGAAGTGGAGACACCACTGTGGAAGAACTTGGATCCGAATGGGGGCAGGAAAAGAGATATAGCTGGAGGGAGTGTGTGATTGAGGGAGGACTTTTTGTTCTGTTTTTGTTGTCATTGTTGTTTTGAGACAGGGTCTTACTCTGTCACCCAGGCTGAAGTTCAGCGGTGCAATCACGGCTCACTGCAGCCCCAACCTCCCAGGCTCTATTGATCCTCTGACTTCAGTCTCCTGAGTAGCTGGGACAACAGGCACACCCCACTATGCCCAGCTATTTTTTGTAGAGACAGGGCTTCACCATGTTGCCCAGGCTGGTCTCAAACTCCCAGGCTCAAGCGATCTGTCTGCCTTGGCCTCCCAGAGTGCTGGGATTACAAATGTGAGTTACTGTACCTGGCCAGGAAAACATTTTTAATAAGACAGGTACTAAATCTGTGATTTTCTAACATTAAGATTCCTAAGAATCACTTGGGAATATGTTGAAAATGCATATTCCCAGACACACCCCTAGACAGTCTGATATACTGGGTTTAAGAGTGGCTCCAGGGCCGGGCATGGTGGCTCATGCCTCTAATCCTGGCACTTTGGGAGGCCGAGGCAGGTGGATCACCTGAGGTCAGGAGTTCAAGACCAGCCTGCCCAACAGGGTGAAACCCCATCTCTACTAAAAATACAAAAATTAGCAGGGGCTGGTGGCGTATGCCTGTAATCCCAGCTACTCGGGAGGCTGAGGCAGGAGAATCGCTTGAACCAGGGTGGCAAAGGTTGCAGTGAGCCAAGATCAAAACTCCATCTAAAAAAAAAAAAGTGACCCCAGGAATCTGCATCTTAAGCAGCTGTCCCACTGATGATTCTGACCCCCTTGGATGTTCACCCATAGATGGGTGTGAATGCTGTGGGGCAGGCTTCAGGAGAGAGGGTGGGTGAAGCTGGAGGAGCTAGCTCACATCAAGTCTCCAGAGAAGACAGTGGGAGGGATTCGGAGCTCCTGAGGGAACTCAGAGTGAGACTCCATCAAAAAAAAAAAGTTGGGCATAGTGGGGTGTGCCCAACTCTAGCCATCTCAGTTCACTGCAACCTCTGCTTCCCGAGTTCAAGCGATTCTCCTGCCTCAGCCTCCCGAGTAGCTGGGATTTCAGGCACGTGCCATCATGCCAGGCTAATTTTTGTCTTTTTAGCTGGGATTACAGGCACGTGCCACCATGCCCGGCTAATTTTTTTCTTTTTAATAAAGACAAGGTTTCACCATGTTGGTCAGGCTGATCTCGAACTCCTGACCTCGTGATCAGCCTGCCTCAAACTCCCAAAGTGCTGGGATTAGAGGCATGAGCCACCGCGCCCGGCCTATCTGGTAAACATTTCTTAAGAGCCGACTGTGCACAGGCCAGGGGGATGCAGCGATGCCTTCAAGGACTTCACAGCTTAGAAAAGCCCATGGTTCTTCCCTGTGAAGCTCAGTTTAAGGAAAAACTTGGTATTTGTGATTCAGCGGCAGTTAGGCCCTGGATGAAGCTGTGGGCATGCATGGCATGGCCTTGTGTGAAAGGAGAGGTGGGCCCAGGAGTGAACCCTGAGGGATAGCAGCATTTGGACATTAGGAGGAGAAGGGGAGCTTGGTAAGGAGACAGAAGGAGCAGCTTGAGAGGTGGGAGAAGACTCAGGATGATGCAGTTTCTCAGAGTTCTAGTAGGTGTAGGAAGCCGGGGCCCCTTGGGCAGCACAGAAGATAGGCTGGGACCTCCTCAGCCCTCCTGCCAAGACACACCAACGCCAGCAAAGGACCCACAGGCCTGGCGGCTGCCTCGTTCCCTTCTCCACACTGCAGCTCGATGATTTTTCTCAAACTGAACTCTTACCATGCCACCGCCCACCCCTAACACCCCTTCAGATGTTTTCCCTTTGCTCTGTGGACAAAACTAAAAGTTCTGGGCTTGGCCCACAAGGCCCTCAAGACCTGGCACTTGCTAACCTCTCTCCTTTTGCATCTCTTGCCATGCTCCTCCTAGATGGTAGTGCTGCAGCCACGCCAGCCTTCTTTTAGTCTTTGGACCTTTCATGCATTTTCTTGCCTCAGGACCTTTGCACAGTCTGTTCTTGCAGCCTGGACAGCTCTCTGGAATCCCATCTCTTTCCTGGTTAACTCTTGCTCATCTTTTAGTTGATTCCTTGGGGAAATTCTCCCTGAACACTTGTTTCGTTTCCCTTGTTGCACACCATCGGATGACCCAGTACTTCTTCACAGGACTCATTGCACTTGTAACAATGTGTTTAGTCCCTGCTGGACTCAGTGTCCAACTCAGCCAGGAACCACCTCTCTCTTGTTCATTGCGTGATTCCCAGGTAATTACCATATGCCTGGCACATAAACATGTGTTGAATGGGTCGGTGAATAAATGACATATCTCATAACCTCAGGACTCATTCTGCTGCAAACCAGGGGAAAGGGGAGGGAGGAAACAAAAGGGAAAAAGAAGACAGATGTGAGAAAGGCCAAGTGAATTTGACAAACAAGACGGAGACATGGGGCCAATGGTCATGCTCACAAAAGGGGGCCCTGATCTCCTTCCAGGCCTGCGTCCGAACTTTCTATGAGACACCTCTCCAGTTGCTGGAGAAGGTCAAGAATGTCTTTAATGAAACAAAGAATCTTCTTGACAAGGACTGGAATATTTTCAGCAAGAACTGCAACAACAGCTTTGCTGAATGCTCCGGCCAAGGTAAGCATGGCAGGGGCCAGGAAGTGTGCGGGGGTGGTGGCATATGGAACGGGGATTGGGAGGTGAGATGTGAAGCTGGGGGGACCCCTGGGGAGGCAGCCTGGCTGCTACTTGTGTTCCTGTATGCATGAATGTGCTTGTTCCGTGTACATATGTGGCTTCACGTGCCTCTGGTCCTGGGCACATGTCTTTTCTGATATGTGTGTGCATGCACACCTACTTATGTCTGCATGTGGCAGCGTCAAGAAGGATCATGCTGGTGCCTTGGGATTAGAGAGTGGAAATGGGAGCCTGTCTTGGGAGCCCTGTAGGTATGGAAGCTTTCCCCATTGGCTCTGCAGGCTGACTGAACATGTGGGGGGTTCTGTGGAGACAGCTGACACCCATCTGGGAGTCAGGGCCCTTGCTCCAGGAGCTCTGCTGCGAATCATCATGATACCCTGGCTCCGGAAGTCCCCAGGATGCCTTGGGCGTTCCCTCAAGGGACAAGGCTGGATTTGAAGTCTGAGCATCATTGGAACTCCCAGGGCTGGCCCAGCTGCATACATGTGTACACTGCGTGTCCTCGTCTCTGCGTCTCGTGCCACACATGCCCTCCTACATTCAATCTTGCTTCCCAAGGCAGGGTCTAGGGCCCTGCAACCTGCCAGTGGCCAAGTCTGGTCTCGTTGCTTCAATCCCAAGGCTTCAAGACTTGGCTGGATTCTAGCCCCAGCTTGTTCCTGCCTGGGGCTGTGGCTGTGGCTGTGTGGCTCCTGGCTATGCATGAAACCAGTGTCTTTGGGGCTTGAAGTTGTCTTGTGTTGGTCTGGAAGGCAACTGTTCAACCTCCTGACCTGGCTGCTGCTCACCCCTAACTTGGCCTGTGGCCAGTGGGTACCCCTGCATGGGCTGTTCTCTTATCTTCCTTCTCCCCTACCCCCAGTGTGTACATCTCAACCCTGTTCTTTGTCACTGCCCATAAGACCCTGCATATGGCACCTTCCCTGTGTCATGAGCACCCACTCTAGTCCCATCCTCTTCTCAGCTCCAGGGCTGAGCTAGGAGATGAGGGCCCCCCAGACTCATATTCCCCTCTTGCCCCGCTCTAGGAAAGCTGTGCTGGAGGCTAGTGACTCTATCTCCTCCCCATCTTTCTCTCTCCCTCTCTCTATGGTTCTTTCAGATGTGGTGACCAAGCCTGATTGCAACTGCCTGTACCCCAAAGCCATCCCTAGCAGTGACCCGGCCTCTGTCTCCCCTCATCAACCCCTCGCCCCCTCCATGGCCCCTATGGCTGGCTTGACCTGGGATGACTCTGAGGGAACTGAGGGCAGCTCCCTCTTGCCTGGTGAGCAGCCCCTGCGCACAGTGGATCCAGGCAGTGCCAAGCAGCGACCACCCAGGAGCACCTGCCAGAGCCTTGAGCCGCCAGAGACCCCGGTTGTCAAGGACAGCACCATCGGTGGCTCACCACAGCCTCGCCCCTCTGTCGGGGCCTTCAGCACCGGGATGGAGGATATTCTTGATTCGGCAGTGGGCACTAACTGGGCCCCAGAAGAAGCCTCTGGAGAGGCCAGTGAGATTCCCGTGTCCCAAGGGACAGAGCTTTACCCCTCCAGGCCAGGAGGGGGCAGCATGCAGACAGAGCCCGCCAAACCCAGCAACTTCCTCTCAGCATCTTCTCCACTCCCTGCATCAGCAAAGGGCCAACAGCTAGCAGATGTCACCGGTACTGCTTTGCCCAGGGTGGGCCCCATGAGGCCCACTGGCCAGGACTGGAATCACACCCCCCAGAAGACAGACCATCCTTCTGCCCTGCTGAGAGACCCCCCGGAGCCAGGCTCTCCCAGGACCTCACCACCACGCCCCCAAGGCCTCAGCAACCCCTCCACCCTCTCTGCTCAGCCACAGCTTTCCAGAAGCCACTCCTCGGGCAGCGTGCTGCCCCTTGGGGAGCTGGAGGGCAGGAGGAGCACCAGGGATCGGAGGAGCCCCGCAGAGCCGGAAGGAGGACCAGCAAGTGAAGGGGCAGCTGGGCCCCTGGCCCGTTTTAACTCCGTTCCTTTGACTGACACAGGCCATGAGAGGCAGCGCGAGGGATCCTCCAGCCCGCAGCTCCAGGAGTCTGTCTTCCACCTGCTGGTGCCCAGTGTCATCCTGGTCTTGCTGGCCGTCGGAGGCCTCTTGTTCTACAGGCGGAGGCGGCGGGTGAGCAGATCCCCATGAGGAAGAAGAGGGCGTCCCTTAGGGCAGGGGCAGAGCCTGGCGGGGGTGCAGGTGAGGGGGACAGCTCGGTTGTGGCCTGAGTTCTTCAGACGCAGAGAGATAGGGGCTGGCTCAGCACAGAGGATGAGAGGTGGAAATTGAGGATTGCTTCGAGAATTGGGAAGGCTCAAGCTATAAGGTCAATGGGAAGGGAGTGGAGCAGAAGGGAGCGGGAGAGAATATTCTTGGGCTGACAGCAGGCTGACATCCAGACAGGCAGGGAGCTGGAGGAGGAGAGCAATGCTGTGTGAGTGTGTCAGGGCGGGCGTACACTGGGAGTTCTGCAGAGCCTGGGACAGGAGGACCGATAGGGAGCAGCCTGCAAGGGCGTGGGGAGAGGAGAGGGAACACCATCAGCAGAGAGACCTCACAAATCTCCCTTGGGCCTCTGGCTGATCCCCACTTTTGGGAAGCTGGGAGGACTCTTGCAACTCTCTCATAAATACCTGGGGCAGCCCTTACTGGGGATGGGGCCACCGTCCCCCCACCCTCCCCCAGCTCCTCAGTGAGATGCTCTTTCCTGTCCTCAGAGCCGTCAAGAGCCTCAGAGAGCGGATTCTCCCTTGGAGCAGCCAGAAGGCAGGTGAGAGCTTGAGGTGGGGTTCTGGGAGGCACTGGGGGCCTGGCTTGGGATCTGTTTCCCCTCTTCGTGGTGGTGGGGCTCTCCTGCTTGCTCTGAGGAAATGGAGCTGCAGAACAGGATGGGGTAGAGACGGTCTTCTCTCCTTTCCCAGATATCTGGGCTTTTTCCTCATTTCTCCTTAGAGTTAGATGGTTCTGGGATTTTTCAGTCTGAGAGGGTCTAGAGCATGTGTGGGGCTTAGGGGTAAACTTATGGGGTCTCCTTACTCCCCTGCTCCTGCTGATGTCTAATGCCAGTGCTGTGCTCTGCCTACAGCCCCCTGACTCAGGATGAGGACAGACAGGTGGAACTGCCAGTGTAGAGGGAATTCTAAGGTAAGATTCTGATTTTGATCTCCACTCCTAAAACTTAGCTATACCCTTTTCCAGTCACCCTCACCTGTTGGTGACACCAATTCCCCTGAGACCCCCACACTGACTCCCTTGCCTCTCTCCAGTTCCCTTTCTATACATTGCCAGCCAGGTCCAGCCACCATCTCCTTTCCAGGTCCTCAGCTATCCCCCTGCCCCTCCATTCCATCCACTGCCGCTGAGGCCAGGGACTATTACCTCTGCACTGGGCTTCTAGTGTTGCTGCCATCTTTGACCTCAGAGCAGCTAAACCCCCCTTCTTCGTATGTGGCCTTTATAAGGTCTTTACCCACCTGAGGAATCTTCAGTAGCTCTGTGTGGCAGCCACTGCAAGCCCTATATTCTTGGCTTGGCTGCCAAGACCCTCCAACAGCAGCTGCTTGCCAGATCGCCCCCACACCACCAGTTGAACCTCCTCCCCAGCCGAGGACAGTTCTGCTTCCTTGCTTTTAGAATCATGTTGACATAGAACCTGAGTCTTGGAAGGGCTCTCAGGGGTCATTTGGCCCTGGGTCACACCCCAAAGGGACTGCCCCTCTCCATGCCCCCAACAGGCAGCCAGCCAGCTGACTGTCACACACTCCCAGTTCCAAGCCAGCTCCCTGCCTAGCCACAGCCCGTGCCATCTTCCAGTCAGACTGGGAGAAACGTCTTCCTCATGCGAGGCAAAACTGGCTTCCCTGCCCCCTCCATACTGCTCCTCCCTCCTGTTCTCATGAAAGCCCTCAGATATTTCAAGTCAGGTATCCATGTCCCCTTTGAGAATTCTCTAAGCTAAGAATGGCCAAGTCCCTCAAACGTTCCTTATATGATATGGTTTTCAGACCCCTCACCATCCTGGACACACTCGTTTGTCAATGTCCCTCTGAAAATGTGGCGCCCAGCCCCGGACACAGTACTCCAGATGTCTGACCAGCTCAGAGAGAGTACAGTGGGACTGTTACCTTCCTTGATATGGACAGTATTCTTCTATTTGTGCAGATTAAGATTGCATTAGTTTTTTTCTTAACAACTGCATCATACTGTTGTCATATGTTGAGCTTGTGGTCTATTAAAACCCCTAGTTCCGTTTCCCATAAAACTCTGTCAAGCCAGACCATCTCTACCCTGTACTTGGACAACTTAACTTTTTTAACCAAAGTGCAGTTTATATTCACCTTTGCTAAAGCCACCTTGTTGGTTTCTGCCAATCACCTGAACCTATTGAAGTTGTTTGAAATCCTAATTCTGTCGTCTCTGTAGCCCTCCCTTTTGTGGCTCCTGCACATTGATGAGTGCCTGTTGTTGTCCTTGCCCATGTTGTTGATGTAGCTGTGACCCTATTGTTCCTCACCTCTGGCCCCCCCAACCCCAGCTGGCGCACGTCTTCCCCCTCCCACCCAAGCCCACAGCCAGCCCATCAGGAAGCCTTCCTGGCTTCTCTACAACCTTCTGACTGCTTCTTTCAGTCATGCCCCTCCTGCTCTTTTGTATTTGGCTAATAGTATATCAATTTGCACTTATTTGGATGTTGTTTTCATATTTTTTAAAATCTTATTTTATATGTATGTGTACATTCCACATCCCTAAGATTGTAAGCCCCTTGAGGGCAGGAACTGTCTTCCACTTTTTTTGTGTTTCTTTTTCCATCCTGGGTTCTACTACAGAGAGGGCCTCTCCACATTTGCCAAACATGAAATAAATATTGACTGACTGGCTTCAGGGCTGACTCACGGACTGACCCTGGCCAGCTGTCTCTAACTGACCAGCCTCTAGCTGACCAGTTAACCAGCTAACTGACTGACTCTGACTGACTGGCTGACCAGCTGGCTGGGTGAATGACTAACCAACAAACTATCTTGGTAACTGGCCAGCTGTTGCTTGGGGAGCTCATTGAGCAACTGACTAGCTGATTTCCTGACTAATTGACTGGTTGGCTGACTAGCTGGGGTGGCCGAGTCAAGTTTCTAGTCACACTCTTTACCAAGTGCAAGCCAGCGCTGCAGGGCTCTCCCATGTGTGGAGTGACAGGTCTGGGCCCCTTCTAGAGAGATAGGGAATTTGGCAAATGCTCAAAACCAGGGAACCTATTTAGACAAGAGCCAGCAGTAACAACATATCTAGAATCCTGGGGTCTACCTTGTCAGTGGGGTGGGCTAAGATGGGTGAGTGGGTCAGCTGGGGCACTGGCGAGACTGTGAAATGACCCAGGCCTCCTCAGAACTGGTGGCTGGTGGCTCAGTGCCACGACACCCTTCCCTCTGGTCGCCTGTCCCCCAAGGCCCTTGCCGTGGTCTTGGCCCTCTGTCCCATCCCTCTACATGCCCACCCTCCTTTCCCCACTTGCTTATTCTCAGGCCCGTCCCAAGCTTTCAGTTTCCTCCCTTCAAGATTTCACTTGGAGAGGGAACCCGGGGCAAGGGGCTACATCCAGATCCCACTTGGCCCAGCAGGTCCAACCCTAAGGTGGTCTCCAGGCCAGGCACCAGTGGCCTTGGAGAGATTGAGTGCCAGCCCCTAGACTGACTGCTGCTCTGATGGAAGAAGTGAGAGAGGGAAACATAGAGGCAGAGACTGAGATAGGGACTCAGAGCCACAGAAAATGCAGACACCAGCACCTCAGCCCTAAGCAGCTAGGAGATTGGGCAGCAGGCTAGAACTTGCCCACTGGGTCCTTCTCCCCTCCTGGGCCTTAGCTAGGCCTGTGGCCTGGCTGTACCCATCATGGCTCATGTCCAGTTTATGGTTCCCCTTCTTTCCCTCTAGAGCATGGGAATGGGCAAGGAGCCAGAGGCTGTGGTTCCATCTTCCCTCCTTACCCAGTAGGGCCTATGGATGTTAGGGAGGGAGGCTCCACACAAGGTCCAAAGTCAAACTGTTGGATGGGGTCCAGGGGATTTCTGCTCTGGGAACAAAGCGTCCTGAGGATGCTGGGCAAGGGGACAAGGATGGGGGTGGAGCAGGAGAGGGCAAGGCCCTGACTCCCATGGATGATGCAGGAGGCAAGGCCCTCGGCCCATCCAGGAGGGGCTGGGTTGCTTAGGGGTCAGCATGCCAAATGGCAGTGTGGGAATTTCCTTGTCCCGGCACTACCTCTAGACTTTTCCTCTCTGGCCCAAGTTCTTCCTCTTCAGCTAGCTCTGCCCGACTGTCTTGAACATCATATGTGTTGCCCCTCTGATGAATGCTGTGGAGGTGGAAATGAAAGATTCTTCTTTGCTAGTGTTAGCAGGAATCACCTTTTGTTCACTGGGCCAAGACCAATGAGATGACCTTGCCTGAGGAGGGGTCCAAAGACATTCAAGTGCCCGCTTCGCTCCTCATCAGAGCCCTCTGCTTGAGGAGTAACCCCTCTTCCCAGCCTTGCCCTGACCTCTCCTGGGCCCTGTTATCTTCCACTGAGGCCCTGATTCCCCAGGAGGAGATAGGAGGTGAGGCCAGTTTGGCCAGAGGCCTGGGCTGGTGCCAGAGAAAGCCGCCTGCTCTCTCTGTGGTGTCTGGAAAGGCTAGGGAAGGGAGGAAAGGAAGTCCCGCCTGCAACACCGCCAACAGCCCACAGGAATGCCACACCTCCCAACCCATGTCCTCAACGACCCTCCCCGCACTCCCACTCTGCTGACTAGCCTTTCCTTCTCTCCCACAGCTGGACGCACAGGACAGTCTCTCCGTGGGAGGAGACATTATGGGGCGTCCACCACCACCCCTCCCCGGCCATCCTTCTGGAATGTGGTCTGCCCTCCACCAGAGGACCGGACCAGAGCAGCCAGGCTAGGGCCCCTCTGTCTCAACCCGCAGACCGTTGACTGAGAGAGGCCAGAGGATGCTCCCCATGCTGCCACTATTTATTGTGAGCCCTGGAGGCTCCCATGTGCTTGAGGAAGGCCGGCGAGCCCGGCTCAGGACCCTCTTTCCTCAGGGGCTGCACCCTCCTCTCCCTCCCCTCCATGCCAGCACCCAGGCCAGGGACCCATCAGCCTGTGGTTTGTGGGAAAGTAGGGTGGACATTGAGAAGTGAAAGAACCCTGCACCCAGAGGGCCCGCCTGGTGCCAAGGGATCCCAGCCTGGACAGGCGTGGACCTGTCTCCAGAGAGAGGAGCCTGAAGTTCACAGGGCGGGACAGCGTCGTCTTGATTTCCCGTAAAGGTGTCAGCCTGAGAGACGGGAAGAGGAGGCCTCTGGACCTGCTGGTCTGCACTGACAGCCTGAAGGGTCTACACCCTCGGCTCACCCAAGTGCCCTGTGCTGGTTGCCAGGCACAGAGGGGAGGCCAGCCCTGCCCTCAGGACCGGCCCGACCTGCCAGTGATGCCAAGAGGGGGATCAAGCACTGGCCTCTGCCTCTCCTCCTTCCAGCACCTGCCAGAGTTTTTCCGGGAGGCCAAGCAGAGGCTCCCCTCATGAAGGAAGCCATTGCACTGTGAACACTGTACCAGCCTGCTGAACAGCCTGCCCCCGTCCATCCATGAGCCAGCATCCATCCGTCCTCCACTCTCCAGCCTCTCCCCAGCCTCCTGCACTGAGCTGGCCTCACCAGTCGACTGAGGGAGCCCCTCAGCCCTGACCTTCTCCTGACCTGGCCTTTGACTCCCCGGGGTGGAGCGGGGTGGGAGAACCTCCTGGGCTGCCAGCCAGAGCCGGTCTTTAGGCTGTGTTGTTCGCCCAGGTTTCTGCATCTTGCACTTTGACATTCCCAAGAGGGAAGGAACTAGTGGGAGAGAGCCAGGGAGGGGAGGGCACAGACAGAGAGGCTGCAGGGTGAGCTCTGACTGAAGATGGGCCTTTGAAATATAGGTATGCCCCTGAGGTTGGGGGAGGGTCTGCACTCCCAAACCCCAGCCCAGTGTCCTTTCCCTGCTGCTGACAGGAACCTGGAGCTGAGCAGGTTATCCCTGTCAGGAGCCGTGGGCTGGGCTGCATCTCAGCCCCACCTGCATGGCACCCAGCTCCCATCCACTTCTCACCCTTCTTTCCTCCTGACCTTGGTTGGCAGTGATAACCTCCATCTCTCACCCACCCGTCTACCATCACCTCTAACCAGGCAAGCCAGGGTGGAAGAGCAATCAGGAGAGCCAGGCCTCAGCTTCCAATGCTTGGAGGGCCTCCACTTCGTGGCCAGCCCATGGTGGTGGCTCTGAGGCCTAGGTAACAGGCAACAGGGCTGCCAGTTGCCCCTGGGTTCCTTTGTGCTGCTGTGTGCCTCCTCTCCTGCTGCCCTGGGTCCTCCACTGAGAGACCCCACCCTGCCTGGCCACTGGGCCCGTGACTTTCTCTTCCTGCCCAGGAAAGTGAGGGTCTGCTGGCCCCACCTCCCCTGTCCTGATGCTGACAGCTAAGGGAAGGGCAGTAAACTTGCATATGGGGCTTAGCCTTCTAGTCACAGCCTCTATATTTGATGCTAGAAAACACATATTTTAAAATGGAAGAAAAAAAAACAAAAAAAAAAGGCATTCCCCCTTCATCCCCCTACCTTAAACATATAATATTTTAAAGGTCAAAAAAGCAATCCAACCCACTGCAGAAGCTCTTTGTGAGCACTTGGTGGCATCAGAGCAGGAGGAGCCCCAGAGCCGCCTCTGGTGTCCCCCCAGTCTACCTGCTCAGGAACCCCTTCTGTTCTCTGAGAAGTCGAGAGAGGACATTGGCTCACGCACTGTGAGATTTTGTTTTTATACTTGGAAGTGGTGAATTATTTTATATAAAGTCATTTAAATATCTATTTAAAAGATAGGAAGCTGCTTATATATTTAATAATAAAAGAAGTGCACAAGCTGCCATGTGAGTCGTGGGAAAGTTGCTTTTGGGGTGTGGGTGGCAAACATCAGGGTGGGTGGGCAGCAGTTGCTGGATGAACCCCAGCTCAGAGAACCTTTTTCCACAAAACACAGGGGAGGAAGGTTCTCTCCAAGTTTCAGTCTTGTTACCAAAACCTCCTGTATTTTTTTTTTGAGACGGAGTCTCGCTCTGTCGCCCAGGCTGGAGTGCAGTGGCCAGATCTCAGCTCACTGCAACTTCTGCCTCCCAGGTTTACGCCATTCTCCTGCCTCAGCCTCCCGAGTAGCTGGGACTACAGGCGCCCGCCACCTCGCCCGGCTAGTTTTTTTTTTTTTTTTTTTTAGTAGAGACGGGGTTTCACTGTGTTAGCCAGGATGGTCTCGATCTCTTGACCTCGTGATCCGCCCGTCTTGGCCTCCCAAAGTGCTGGGATTACAGGCTTGAGCCACTGCGCCTGGCCGACCTCCTGTATTATTGCTGTCCCAAACACATTCATCTGCATATCTGGTCGTATTGGGCAGAAAGTGGCCAAACCCCAGGCCTGGTCACCGGCCCCTGCTCCTGCCCAGCCTAGGAAAATGGCTGGTTGGGCTCTGTCCAAGGACCCCGGGGGCCTGTGAGGATAAGGCTCCTTGACCGTTGAGCCCTGCTGACCAGGGCAGAGGGAGCTGGCTAGGTCCTTGCAGGCTCTGAGATGAATGAGTCCTGTTTCCAGGCTACGAAGTGAGTGTTTAGCGGGGGAGAGCCAGGAGTCTGTGTGAGGGCCCTCGTTCGGGCTTGACCTTCCTACTGGAGCTGGAGAGGAGACTGAGGGTGTGGCTTTCCATGGGGAGAGGGGTATTAGGCAGGGCCAGAGGAGTTGAAGGCCCAAACATACACCCTGGGCAAAGCTATGACAAGAGGGGCCTCTCAATCCCTGAGGGTGTGGTAGACAGTTTTGGATTAGTGGTTCCCAACGCTGGCTTCCAGGAGAATCACCTGGGTTGTTTTAAAAAAAAAAAAAAATCTGATCCCCTGAGCCCCACCCTAGATCAATGAAATCGAATCTTAGGGGCGCGGCTCAGGCACCAGGTGTCAAAACTTTTTAAAAGACATCTCAGGTGATTCCACTGTGATCCAGGATAAGAAGTATCTAGAGCTGCACTGTCAGGTAAGATGGCTATTTAAGTTTAAATTAATGAGAATGAAATAAAAGTAAACATTCAGTTCCTTAGCTATACTATCCACATTTCAAGGGCTCTGTAACTACATGTGGCTACCATGTTGGACAGCACAGAAATACAACATTTGCATCATTCCAGAAATTCTACTGGACAGCGCTACCCCAGAGATTAGGTCCTTGGACTTAGGGACCAAGGATACAGGGCCAAGATTGGCATCAAGCAAATTTGACCAGGGGCTAAGTGTTCAGGCGTCTCAGTCACCCCTTTCTGTGCCCTCACCCCTACCACCCTGTCCCTTATCATTTCCCTTAAGATGGCTCTTCCCTTTCTATCAAAAGAGCTACAGAAAAGATTTTTGAAGAAAATTAACATGTTATCGTCCAAGGCCCCTCTGAGAAGCCTTCCCAGCCTGACTCGAGCTCCTGAGGCCTACCCAGGTTCAATTCCTTCCCCACCTGTGCTTCTCCAGATTTGGAATTTGGAGCCTGTTTGTCTGTCTGTCCCACCAGGCCATGGTCAGTGGCAGACACTGCTACATCCCTCCTTTTATTAAAGGGGGACGTGCACCTAGTGCCTTAGTGCCTAAGAGTATCTGGCACTCGGTAGTTGCTCAGTAATTGTGTGCCAAAGGTTAATACTGAAAGCATGAACAGAGGCATCATAATGCAAATTCTGACCAGATGTAATGGGTGGCCTTTTCTAGAGGCCTTATTGGTATTAGCAAATGAGAGTAGTATCTAATAACTACTGTTCAATGGCCACGCAGAAGGATCTTCAGCAGAGGAGTCTTCCTGGCTTCTGACAGAGATGGGGCTAGGTTAGAGCCCTTCCTGATCACTGGGCAGTGGTGGATGGAATGTACACTTCAAAGCCTCTAAGCAAGGATTGGTGGTGAGGGGAGCAAAAGATCCCTTCCCCTTAGCTGCCTTTCCGGAACCCCCAGAAAGAGCTGAGAATCTCAGCAGGCCTTTCCTGGGCTTCATGTGCTGCAGGGGCTGCTTGGGAAGCATCGTACCTATACAGCAATATTCGCTTTGAATTGAGAACCAGAGAACTGGCTGAGGGTGGTGGCTTACACCTGTAACCCCAGCGCTTTAGGGGGACTGAGGTGAGAGGATCACTTGAGCCCAGGAGTTTGAGATCAGCCTGAACAACATAATGAGACCCCATTTCTACAAACAAAAAACTAGCCAGATGCGGTGGCACACACCAGTAGTCCCAGCTACATGGGAGACTGAGGTTGGAGGATAGCTTGAGCCGGAAGGTTGAGTCTGCAGTCAACCCTGATCGTATCACTGCACTTCAGCCTGGGAAATGAAGCAAGACCCTGTCTCAAAAACACCAAAACCCAAAAACCAACAGAAGTTAGGTTCTTGACTTGAATCTCTCATTGGCTCTTACTGTTTGACCTTAAGTAAGTATTTAAACTCTCTGAGCCTCAGGTTTCTCCTCGTCTGTAGAACTAGTTTAAGAGTACAAACCAGGTGGCTGGCTACGGTGGCTCACACCTGTAATCCCAGCACTTTGGGAGGCCAAGGCAGGCGGATCACCTGAGGTCAGGAGTTCAAGACCAACCTGACCAACATGGTAGAACCCCTTCTCTACTAAAAATACAAAAATTTGCCGGGCGTGGTGGTGCACGCCTGTAATCCCAGCTACTTCGGAGGCTGAGGCAGGAGAATCAGCTGAACCCGGGAGGCAGAAGCTGCAGTGAGCCGAGATCGCGCCATTGCACTCCAGCCTGGGCAACAGAGCGAGGCTCCGTCTCAAAAAAAAAAAAAAAAAAAAAAAGAGTACAAACCAGGTATACCTGGACTGCAGTTCAAATGAAATGACAAACCCAAAAGCACTTTGTGGGCTCCAAAGGGCTGCCCCTGAATAAAATGTGTACTGGTAATGTGCCTGCCTGCTGGTCCAACAGTGCCCAAGCCAAACAGAGAGCTCCCCTCTGGGCAAGCCCTGGGGGACCAGCATGCTACCAGGCCCTGGCTGTTCTCAGAGGAAGGTGGCAGAGCTGGGTGCTTCCCACAGGGATGAGCAGTTAGAGAGCTTGTAGCTCAGGGATTTCTGGCTGACAAGAAGAGCCAGGTAGGAGACTGGAGGGGAAAGTGGCCTTGGGTTGCTACGGGTGCCGGTGAGCAGGCAGGGTCAGGAACTCTGGCTTGGACTATATAAGCAGAGACCACGGCCAAACCCCAAACCACTATCCGGCCAGAGGCAGGAAAGTGAATCACAGGAGACGAGGAAGAAGCCTGAGGTTAACCTCGTGCAGACTGTGGGCCGTGGCAAGAAGGGTTGGTGACAGGACTAGATGCAGGGCCTGGGTGGGTGTCCAAAGACCCCTTGAATAAGGCACTAAAGTCATTTGGTGAGGGCAGTGACCAGGCAGCCCTGAAGAGAAAAGGCCAAATGTCCCAGTGAGCACATGTCCCCTGCCCCAGTGAAGGCCTCCTCTGCCACAGCAGCACTTTTGTTTGCTGGTTTCCCTCTTCAGGCTCTAGGAAGGGTAGGGGAGTCACCAGGCTCTGCTCCTGAATGCTGGGACTGCTGAGGGAGCAAGTGGACCACACTAGCTTGGAAAGCCCCATGGTGAAGTGGCTGGACCACAGGAAAGCCCACAGGTTGACCTCTATGGCACCATCTAGAGTCCATACTGACTCAGCTCCACTACTGGGTGGCTGAGTCAGAAGAGGTTATGCATTGGGGCAGTGGAGAAGGCTGGGTCAGGGAGTTTTCGAGTGAATTCCTTGAGGAGGGCTAGGGGAGAACCCCAAGTTAGACTTTAGCCTCTCTAGTCCACAGGCCCCACTCCTGCTCTGAGGTCTTAGACGTCTTCCCCCAGTCACTCTGCTATTTTGTCCTCCTCATGTGTGTGCATCTAGTGAGGTCTGTGAAGGCAAGAGCCTCATCCTTATTTATTCATTCATTTCCCCATTGATTGCCACACACTGAGGAAAAAATGGTAAATAAAAGAGTCAGTGAAGGAGACAGGTATTAGTAAAACAATCACAAATAAATATCTAGTCATAAAGTATGAATAGAATTAGAAAGATGTCTAATAGGAACCTGACCAGGGATGCTGCACTCTGCAGGACTTCAGGAAGATTAAGACAAAGGAAGCCATATAAGGGTAACAGGAAGTCAGGCACAGTCTGTTCCTCTTCCTTGTCCAAGACTGTCAACAAGATCGAATGGAAGGCTATTTACTATTTACTGGTTTGTATGAGGCAGTCTATAAAAATGCAATTGCATTCTATCCTATAATAGCCCTGTAAGCGAGGTTCTAACATCCTCATCTATAGATGTAGAAACTAAGGCTTAGAGAAACTTAGCTCAGCCAAGATCACAGCAGCTGGCAAGTAGCAATGCCTGGATTTGAAGCCAGATCTGCCTGTTTTCAAATACAGCATCGTAACATCACACTCTAGCAGACATTTAGCAAATGCTTCATGCACAAACGGACAGCTCGTGCCAGCTTGGTGGGCTTTGAAGGTCCCCAGGGCCTTAGAATTCTCCTTCTTTGTCCCCTCAAAAGGATTGTGTAGTCTGAAACTGGGCAAAAGGTGCCTATGACAGACTCCTGTTTTCTCAGTCTTGCTGCTATCCCTAAATCCACCAGGAAAGGAAAAAGGACCTCTCCTGGGTGGTGTGTCCACTGCCTGGGCCTCTGAAAAAGGTCTCTCTTGACTGGCAGTCCCTCCTGGCTTCTCTTGGCTTGAGTCCTTTGTGACCCATGTGTTTTCTTCCTGCCCACCCTTTGGACATATCCCAACCCGCTGGTTAATTATTGAGCCAGGTGACACCTGGCCATTGATCACTCCAGCTGGCAGCAGGCTT